AAAAGAACCAACAGATCTGTGTTGGAAGAAGTGCAGCCAGAGTGCTTCTTGAAGGCCAGGATGGCCAAACTTTGTCTCTCATTCATCAGTAATTATTATAAAGTCCTCTTAACTTTCAGCAAACAAAAGTTGTATCATCTGTTATCACAGGCTGTTAATGAGTTTTCCTTCAATCTTGATACCACGTTTTTCATATAACCCAGCTTCTCAAATTATTTGCTCAGCATACAGATTGAGTAAATATGGTGAAAGAATACAACACCCTTTCTAATTTTAAACCTTTCAGTGTTCCCTTGTTCTGTTTAAACAATAGCCTCTTGGTCTAAGTGCAGGTTCCTCATGAGCACAATTAAGTGTTCCGGAATACTCATTCTCTGCAGTGTTGTCCATAGCTTGTCATGATCCACACAATCGAAAGCCTTTGTGTAGTCAATAAATTACAGGTAAACATCTTTCTGGTATTCTCTGCTATTCAGATCTATCTGATTCAGCAATGATGTCCCTCATTCCACCTCCTCTTCCGAATCCTGCTTGAACTGCTGGCAGTTCCCTGTCAATGTACTGCTTGCAGCCATTTTTCAATTATCTTTGGATCTCTTCCAATCAGTTGGCCATGTAGGTGTCTTCCAAACTTCTTGAGAGATATGAGTGAGTGCCTCCAGTGCTTCGTCAATTTGTTGAAAGATTTCTGTTTGTATTTTGTCAGTTCTCAGAGCTTTGTTCTTTGCCAGTATCGTCAGTGCACCTTGGACTACTTCTTTCAGTATCATTGACTCTTGATAGTTTGCTACCTCTTGAAATGGTTTAATATCGACCATTTCTTTTTGGTAAAATGACTCTGTGTATTCCTTAAATCTTTTTCTGATGTTTTCTGTGTCATTCAATATTTTGTCCATTATTGTTGTTGTTAAGTGCTGTAGAGTCAGTTCCGATTCATAAGGACCCTGTATAGAGCTTCCAAAGATCAGCAGTCCATAAAACCCTTCAATATTTCAAGTCAAGGCTTGATTTTTTTTCTTCAGTTCCCTCAGCTTGAAAAATGCTGAATGTGTTCTTTCCTTTTGGTTTTCTAACTCCAGGTCTTTGCATATTTCATTATAATATTTGACTTTGTCTTCTCGAGCTGATCTTTGAAATTTTCTGTTCAGCTCTTGTACCTCCTCATTTCTCCATTTGCTTTAGCATCTCTACACTGGAGAGCAAGTTTCAGAGTCTCTTCTGATCCATTTGGGTGTTTTCCTTTTTGTCTTTTGCTGTCTTCCTACATGATGTTTTTGATGTCATCCCACAACTCTTCTGATCTTCAGTTATTAATGTCTAATTCATCAAATCTGTTTTTGAGTTGATCTCTAAATTTGGAGAGGATATGTTCAAAGCCATATTTTGGCTCTTATGGAGTTGTTTTAATTTTCTTCAG